ACAATCCCACACTTTATACAGTTAGGCTGCGTGTAATATGAATGCAGGTATGGTCAGTGTAGAACGGAGCCTACGCCTGATTGGAGTCTCCGCTACGGATCGGTTTGGTTTGCTATTAGGCATCGGCAAACTTTAGCCCTCCCGGTGTTTTGGACTTCAACTCCCACAATTCCTAACAGCTTCCTCTACTAGTGTATATATATATATATAAAATGCTCTGTGCATAATGAGTACCTTAAAAACAAAAGAACCAATGAACGAAATCACACCAAATTTGGCAACAAAATGTCTCACAACACAAGGAGTGACCATCTCTCAAAAATTATGATTTTGTCATTTGGGAGTTGTAGTTGATGGGATTTATAGTTCACTTATAATCAGAGAGCATTCTGAACTCCACCAATGATGGGATTGAACCAAACTTGGCACACAGGACTCCCCTGACCAACAGAAAACACTAGAAGGGTTTGGTGGGCATTGCTGGGATTTGTAGTCAAAGAGCCCACCAATGATAGAATTGAGCCAAACTTCCCACCCAGAACCCACATGACCAATGTGGCACACAGGACTCCCATCACCTACAGAAAACACTAGAGGGTTTGGGGGGCATTGACCTTGAGTTTGGGAGTTGTAGTTCACCTACATCCAGAGAGCACTGGACTCAAACTATGATGGATCTGGACCAAACTTGGCACAAGCACTCAATATGCCCAAATATGAACACAGATGGAGTTTTGGGGAAATAGACCTTGACATTAGGGAGTTGTAGTTACTGGGATTTATAGTTCACCTACAATCAAGGAGCATTCTGAACCCCACCAACGACAAAATTGGGGAAAACTTCCCACACAGAACCCTTATGACCAACATAAAATACTGTGTTGTCTGGTGGTCTTTAGTGACCCTTCTGACACCCCCTCGCAACCCCCCCAGGGGTCCCAAACTCCAGGTTGAGAAATGTTGCCGTAAGGCCATCCAGTCCAACTCCCTTCACCAGAGCAAGAAAACATAAAGCCCTCCTGACAAAAAACCATCCACCCATAGATATAGATAAATATATTTGATTTGCGCGCGCGTGCACACACACACACGCACACGTTTATGACAGATATAGTACCATAGATCTGAAAGGAACCCCTAAAGAAGGACAATGATATGTTGCATGTTCCAGACTAGGCAAACCAGACAATCTCCACATCAACGCTGGCAAAGAAACAACAAGAAATACTTTTAACCCACAAGCATAAAGACATTACATATATTAGAAACCAACACTTTCTCATTACTTTATTTTCCAGATCACCAGACTGGGCCACAGCAACGCGTGGCAGGGGACTGCTAGTTATGTATATAATTCAGATTGCGGACAGTATTGTCTATGTGCGTATTGGTGTGCAGTTTTCCTTAACTCTGTGTTGTGGGAGGGGCTGCAGACCGTGTGATCAGATCTGGGAGTGTCCAGGACTCAGACTCCATTTTAGAAATAGTATGCTTTCAGATGCCTGTGGAGGCAGGCACCATTGGACTTTCAGACTAAGAATCTCAGAACAGAGAGATGGTAGACTATGGTCTATTAAGATTATAAGACTCTGTTATGTATATAATTCAGATTGCTGACTGTATTGTATATGTGTGTATTGGTATGCTGTTTTCCTTAACTCTATGTTGTGGAAGGGGCTGCAGACCATGTGACCAGATCTGGGCATGTTCAGGAAGTTCTATTAGACTCTCAGAACAGAGAGATTCTTTAGATTTTGGACTGTTATGATTCTATGAAAGATGCCCTGTGTTAGCTACACAAACTACTTCAAATCCTATCTGTAACTGGACTGATCAGCAATGTACCTGTATGCTGAATACATGAAGTTTGTGAGTAAACCAACTATGTTATTTTTAAAGAAGTCTACTTACGTTTCGTCTCTTGAGAGCATGATTTCAACCAAGACGCTTTAAGGGAGCATAGATGTTTTTTGGGCAACTGAGAGAACACTTCCGAAACTCTGCTATATATACTAGGTTGGGGATCTGGCGGTGCCCGGGGTTATTAGAAGAAGGCATTGTTTGTTTTGGGATGTTAGGTAATATCACTGAAGTTTGGTCCAGATCCATTGTTGGCTAGGTTCAGTGCTCCTTGGATAAGGGTGAACTACAATCCCAGATTCCCAGGGCAATCACCCCCAAACCCTGACAGTTGGCCACGTTGGATCTGTGTGCCAAGTTTGGTCCAGATCCGTCATCAGCTGGCTTCTAGATAAGGGTGAACTACAACTCCCAGATCCGAGGTCAGTCACTCCCAAACCAGACCTATATGCACAGTTGGCCATGTTGGGTCTGTGTGCCAGGTTTGGTCAAGATCCATAGTCCATTATTCAGAGGTTCAGTGCTCCTTGGATAAGGGTGAACTACAATTCCCAGATTCCCATCACCCCCAAACCCTGACAGTTGGCCACGTTGGATCTGTGTGCCAAGTTTGGTCCAGATCCGTCATCAGCTGGATTCTAGATAAGGGTGAACTACAACTCCCAGATCCGAGGTCAGTCACTCCCAAACCAGACCTGTATGCACAGTTGGCCATGTTGGGTCTGTGTGCCAGGTTTGGTCCAGATCCATAGTCCATTATTCAGAGGTTCAGTGCTCCTTGGATAAGGGTGAACTACAATTCTCAGATTCCCAGGGCAATCACCCCCAAACCCTGACAGTTGGCCACGTTGGATCTGTGTGCCAAGTTTGGTCCAAATCTGTCATCAGCTGGATTCTAGATAAGGGTGAACTACAACTCTCAGATCCGAGGTCAGTCACTCCCAAACCAGACCTGTATTTACAGTTGGCCATGTTAGATATGTGTATCAGGTATGGCACAGATGTGATGTCATCTGTGTTCAGAGCTCTCTGGATAAGGGTGAACTACAACTCCCAGAGCCAAGGTCGTTCACACCCAAACCCCCACCTGTATCCACAATTAGGCATGATAGGTCTGTGTGCCAAGTTTGATCCAGATCTTACGTCGTCTGGGTTCAGGCCTCTCTGAATAAGGGTGCACTATGACTCCCAGATCCAAGGCCCTTCAACCCCAAACCCTGCTTGTATGCATAGTTCGGTATGTTGGGTAGTTTGGTATGTGGGCCAAGTTTTGTACAGATGCAACATTGGCCAGATTCAGCTGTTTCTGGATAAGGGGGTGAACTGCAACTCCCATTATCAAGGTTCATTCCCACAACCCCCTGCAGTATGTTCAGTTGGTCATGGGGCTTCTCTGTGCCAAGTTTTGTCCCAGTCCATTGTCGGTAGAGCTCACAGTTTCTCTGGATGCAGATGAACTATAACTTCCATGAAGGCCAATTTCCCTCAGACATCTCCAGTATGTTCTCTTGGTCATGGAGGGTCTGTGTGCCAAGTTTGGTCCTGGTCCATCATTCGTGGGGGTCACAGTGGGCTTTTGTGGAGGGGGGAGGCTGTCTGTGTAAGTGGACAACTCCGCCACATACACACGTTTTCACTTTTATTATGTGTATAGATTATATCTATATAAATAAAAATGTAATGTTCGTTTGTGGGATGAACAGAACTCAAAAACCACTTGACAAATTGCCGCCAAATTTGATCACAAGACACCTACGAACCCAAGGAGTGATCATCACTCAAAAAAATTGATTTTGTCATTTGAGAGTTGTAGTTGCTGGGATTCATAGTTTACTTAAAATCAAAGAGCATTCTGAACCCACCAACGATGAAATTGAACCAAACTTGGCACACAGTTCTCCCATGACCAACAGAAAATACTGGAAGGGTTTTGGTGGGCAGTGTCCTTTGGTTTTGGAGTTGTAGTTCACCTACATCCAGAGATCACTGTGGACTCAAACAATGATGGATCTGGACCAAACTCTACACGAATACTCAATATGCCCAAATGTGAACACTGGTGGAGTTTGGGGAAAATAGAATCTTGACATTTGGGAGTTGTAGTTGCTGGGATTTATAGTTCACCTACAATCAAAGAGCATTCTGAACCCATCAATGATGGAATTGAACCAAACTTGGCACACAGAACTCCCATGACCAACAGAAAATATTGGAAGGGTTTGGTGGGCATTGACCTTGAGTTTTGGAGTTGTAGTTCACCTACATCCAGAGAGCACTGTGGACTCAAACAATGATGGATCTGGACCAAACTTGGCACAAATACTCAATATGCCCAAATGTGAACACTGGTGGAGTTTGGGGAAAATAGACCTTGACATTTGGGAGTTGTAGTTGCTGGGGTTTATAGTTCACCTACAATCAAAGAACATTCTCTGAACTCCACCAATGATGGAATTGAACCAAACTTGGCACATAGAACACCCATTACCAAGAGAAAATACTGAAAGGGTTGGTGGGTACTGAACTTGAGTTTTGGAGTTGTAGTTCACCTACATCCAAAGAGTACTGTGGACTCAAACAATGATGGATTTGGACCAAACTCTACATGAATACTCAATATGCCCAAATGTGAACACTGGTAGAGTTTGGGGAAAATAGAATCTTGACATTTGGGAGTTGTAGTTGTTGAGATTTATAGTTCACCTACAATCACAGAGCATTCTGAATCCCACCAACGATAAAATTGGGCCAAACCTCCCACATGTGGCCCACAGCAACGCGTGGCAGGGGACGACTAGTATATGTTTTTGTGCATTGGCATCTCTTTGTCCCTAGCAGTTCAAAGAGACATATATCAGTCTAACAGCTAAGAAACCTAATGAACTTACATGGTTACGAGTGGATATTTACCACTAAGGAGAAGGTTAACTCAAGCGAGTTTTTAACTCTTCTCAGAGAGATTCCTGGTTTCCCAAAAAGATAATGAATGCCATTTCCCAAAAGGTTATGATTTCCAACAAGGTAATGACTTTCCAAAGATCCTAATTCTCCAAATCTCGATGTTAAATACCACTTCCAAATTAATTTGCAGTCATTTTCTTTTATTCTAATTCACCTTTTAAAAATATATTTTAGCAGTGACACTCAGTGTGGAAACGACCTCAAATGAAAGCACAACGCAAAATGTTACTTTCTCCGATACTACCCCAACGAGGATGTTGGTCTCCAGCCCCGTGGCGCCAATGACTGGCACAACCGCATCTGGCTTGAATGACACAACATGGTTAGAGACCTCGCCAAGTCCCAAGCCTCCGGAAACCACCGATGGCAACGGCACCACGAGCCACGGCACCACAAGACTTGAAGCATCCACAACCCCCACCAAGTCCAAAGAGCCGCTCACGAGCCCAAAAAATGATACGTCTGCTGGCAACACAACAGCCACTGGTAAGAACAAGGCACCACATGCCTTCAACCGGCCCACTTTTGCAGGCAAACTCTTTGTTGTCCTACTTTTCCAGCTGTTTCTCTCTCTTGTCCTCCCACCTTCCTCTGCAATGGGTTGAAGGGCATGCCAAGTCATAGATAATACTATACTGTATTGCAGGGGTCCTCAAACTGTTTAAACAGAGGGCCAGGTCACAGTCCTTCAAACTGTTGGAGGGCTGAATTATAATTTGAAAAAAACATGAATGAATTCCTATGCACACTGCAGATATCTTATTTGTCGTATATAACAAATATAAACTTATTAGTATTTTAGACGGAAGTGTGGGCCTGCTTTTGGCTGATGAGATAGGATTGTTGTTGTTGTTGTTGTTGTTGTTGTTGTTGTTGTTGTGTGCTTTTAAGGTTGACCCTGAGCCCGGGCCGGGTAAATGACCTTGGAGGGCCGTATCTGGCCCCCGGGCCTTAGTTTGAGGACCCCTGCTGTATGGACTCTAATCTAATGCTCACCATTTTGGAACTAAATCACCTTGCTAAAATTGGGGTGCCCATTAGATTTATGTCATACGGTCACCCTGAACAACATTATGAAGGTACCAAATTGGCAAAATAGCTCCTGGACAACTCTAAAAAGGCCCTTTTTGTTGTTTATTCGTTTCATCACTTCTGACTCTTGGTGACCTTCTGGACCAGCCCATGGCAGAGCTCCCTTTTGGCCATGGCCACCCCCAGCTCCTTCAAGGTCAAGCCAGTCACTTCAAGGATACCATCCACCCACCTTGCCCTTGGTCAGCCCCTCTTTCTTTTTCCTTTCCTTGTTTTCTCCAAGCTTTCCTGTCTTCTCATGATGTGGCCAAAGTAATTCATCTTTGTTTCTACTATCCTTCCCCCCAGTGAGCAGTTGGACTTTATTTCCTGGAGTATGGATTGGTTGGAGCTTCTTGCGGTCCAAGGCACTCTCAGCATTTTCCTCCAACACCACAGTACAAAAGTGTCTGTCTTCCTTCACTCAGCCTTCCTTATGGTCCAGCTCTCACATCCGTAGGTTACTACGGGGAATACCATTGCTTTAACTATGTGGATCTTCGTTGCCAGTGTGATGTCTGCTCTCTTCGCTATTTTATCGAGATTGGTCATTGCTCTCCTCCCAAGAAGGAAGTGTCTTCTGATTTCCTGACTGCAGTTTGCGTCTGCAGTAATCTTTGCACCTACAAATACAAAGTCTGTCACTTCCTCCATGTTTTCTCCCTCTGTTTGCCAGTTATCAATCAGTCTGGTTGCCATAATCTGATACTGAACTGCAACCCAGCTTTTGCCCTTTCTTCTTTCACCTTGGTTAGAAGGCTCCTCAGCTCCTCCTCACTTTCAGCCTTCAAAGAGGTATCATCTACATATTTAAGTTTGTTAATGTTTGTCCAGCCATTTAAACTCCAGCCTTCAATTCGCCCGGCCCCACACCTCGCAGGATGTGTTCTGCATACAAGTTGAATATGTTGGGTGAGAGTAGACAGCCCTGCCATACGCCTTTCCTAATCTTGAACCAGTCTGTTGTTCCATGGTCAGTTCTTACTGTTGCTACTTGGGCATTATGCAGATTCCTCAGGAGACAGGCAAGGTGGCTTGGTATCCCCAGACCACCAAGAAATTGCCACAATTTATTACGATCCACACAGTCAAAGACGTTAGAAGAGGCAATAAAACAGAAATAGATAAACAGGAATAGAGGGGAAATTTCCATCTGGTCTGAAACAGGCAGTGGTGAGACCAATCCTGAAGAAGACCTCCCTTGACCCTACGGTCTTGAGTAACTACAGGCCAATCTCCTGGGCAGGGTGCTGGAGCAGGTGGTCGTCTCGCAGCTCCAGGTATTCCTAGAGGACACTGATTTTCTAGACGAGTCGCAGTCTGGTTTTAGGCCTGATCACGGTACCGAGATGGCTTTGGTTGCCTTGGTGGATGACCTCCGTAGGGAGCTGGGCAGGGGGAGTGTGACCCTGCTGGTTCTCTTGGCTATCCCAGCAGCTTTCGATACCATCGACCATGATATCCTTCTGGGCCGGCTCTCCGGGATGGGTCTTGGGGGTACGGCTTTACTGTGCCTCCGGTCCTTCCTGGAGGGTCATTCCCAGTTGGTGAAACTGGGGGACACCTGCTCGGTCCCTTCGTCTTTGACCTGTGGGGTCCCGCAAGGTTCCATTCTGTCTGCTGTGACAGTCTGGATGAGGACAAATAAGACAGAGATCCTCCAGGTCGATCGTAAGCCGGATTGAGGTATAGGGTGGTAACCTGTGCTCGATGGGGTTGCACTCCCCCTGAAGTCACAGGTCCGCAGCTTTGGTGTCCTCCTAGACTCTTCGCTAACGCTTGAAGCACAGGCGTCGGCGGTGGCTGGGAGGGCTTTCGCACAATTGAAGCTTGTGCGTTCAGCTGCGACCATACCTCCTGAAGTCAGATCTGGCCATGGTGGTCCACGCCTTAGTTACCTCCAGATTGGACTGTTGCAATGCACTCTACATGGGGCTGCCCTTGAAGACGGCCTGGAAATTTCAGTTGGTCCAACGGGCAGCAGCCAGATTACTAACAGGAGCGAATTACAGGGAGCAGTCCACCCCTCTGTTCAAGGAGCTCCATTGGCTGCCGTTCATATTGTTTACTGTATTGCTGGGCTTAGCCCCATGTAAGCTGCCCTGAGTCCCCTTGGAGAGATGGTGGCGGGGTATAAATGAAGTTATTATTATTATTATTATTATTAATAATAATAAAACTCTTGCCTTTCTCCATTATCCAGCGGATATTGGCAATTTGGTCTCTTGTTCCTCTGCTTTTTCTAAACCCAGCTTGTACATCTGGCAACTCTCTCTCCATGTATTACTGGAGTCTAAAGGTATCAAATGGGCAACACTGGGCCTGAATGACCCTAAATATGTCCTAAACAACATTTAAAAGGCACTAAATGGGCAAAACGAGCCATGGACAACCATAAGAGACCCTAAAGAACATTATAAAGGCATCAAATGCGCAAAACAGGCCCCAAATGACCCTAAATATGTCCTAAACAACATTATAAAGGCACCAAATGGGCAAGATGGGCCCTAAATAACCCTAAAGAGACCATAAACAACCTTTAAAAGGCATCAAATGGGTAAGATGGGCCCTGAATAATCCTAAAGACAACCTAAACAACCTTTAAAAAGCACCAAATGGACAAAACGGGCCCTGAATAACCCTAAAGAGGCCCTAGGTAACCTTTAAAAACATCAAATGGGCATCCATAAGGACTAGATGTCATTTGGGGGTCCCTTCCAATCCTAGTGGAATAATAATAATGATAATGATAATGATAATAAATTATATGCTAATCAAGGTGATCAGTTGAAACATTCACACCTAGCTCCAGCAGACAAGAGTCCTTTGTCCCACCCTGGTCATTCCACAGAAATATAAACCCACTTTTCTAGTTCCAACAGACCTCACTACCTCTGAGGATGCTTGCCATAGATGCAGGCGAAACGTCAGGAGAGAATGCCTCTAGACCATGGCCATATAGCCCGAAAAAAACTACAACAACCCAGCCTTCGACAATATAATGATAATAAACTTTAAGGGACTTGGGGCTGCTAACATGAGGCCAAGCCCAAGGATTACAGCACAGCAAAGTAAAATACAACAGCAGATAATAACAACAAAGTAAAATGCAAACAATAGCAAATTCACAGTAAACAAACGCAAAATAAAATAATGGAAGAATAAAAACACAGTGGGCGGGCCAAATGCACAGGATAAAATTGATAAAACCCTGGGTGAGATAGGTAAATGGAGGAATATGTATCTGAAGGTGCCTCCCCGTCATTGTAGGTCTTTCAGTTGTGGTTGGTTGGGCATCATTTAGGTGTGCCTTCCTGCAAGGACTAGATGGCCTTTGGGGATCCCTTCCTTCCTTAAATCCCCTGTGATTTACATGATCTTCAAAGGCCTTTCTATGCTAGTTGATGTCCAACATTAGTCCAAGCTGCTGGATGATGGGCGGGTTTCTGCAAATATCCCATCTCTACATATCTTAGGGAGCAGGAAGTAGCTGTTCAATGGGGTTCCTTGTTTCATGGCTCCTTGCTGGGCGTGCAAATAACGCGCCTCTTTAGCAAACAGAGGCTGTTGATACGGCAGCTCAGGCAAGCATGACGACACAACTGCAGCAGCCTTTCCTACTTTGACACCGCAGGGAGAACATAATGCACTATGTAACACGATTTTTGTTCCTGGGTTATAATTGTCATTTCCTAATTGGCTCTATTACAAAAACATGGGGAAAGTGTACTAAACTGCAAAAAAGCTTTGCTTTTTTGCGGGGCATCCTGCAGCACGTTTTGCAATAGTCTTACACTGAGTCGCAACCAATTCAATCTAGTTTGTGGCAGGCACAAAAACAAAGTTTCTGGAGTAGGACAACTTTCAAAGTAAGGACCGCACCATTAAACAGGAAAGAACACTTTCAAACCAGGAAGAGAACATTTTTCAAATATGGTTGAAGTAGAGCGATTTAAAACGGCCGTGGATAGAGAGCCGGGCTGTGGATAGCGAAACCTGAAGCGCGGATACCAAGTCCTGATATGCAGACTGCTTGTGAATCCATATGCCTGACAAGATGACTGGCCCCAAGAGTGATGGGTGATTGAATTCTTCATATCTATCTGCTGTCCAGGAAAATAGCTGAAGGGAGTTTCCTGGGTCAGGAGGTGCTGATGAAAGCCCACCAAAATGCCTTGAACGGTGGCATGCTTCTTCAAATTTATTATTTACTAGCTTGGGGACCCAGTGGTGCTCGGGTTGTTTGCGAAAGGCATTGTTTGTTTTTCAAAGTTTGGTAATATCAGTTTGGTGATGTATAATACTATTTATAAAATGATCAAGGGTCTGGAGAACAAGCCCTATGAAGAGCAGCTTAAAGAGCTGAGCATGTTTAGCCTGAAGAAGAGAAGCAGTACGTGTGAAAAAAGACAACA